GTCCGAGATGTGAAGCATACACTGACTCAGGGCCAGCTCAGTGGGCTCAAAGTGCTCCAGTCCGTAGTGGACCTGCAAGTGCCCCCCTTCAATGGGCGGCTCGGTGCGTCTCTTAGCTGCCCATGGCCTGCAACATCTTTCATGTGAAGTGCCTTCACTGACATGCCTGAAGTTTGTATAACGACCTCGACGCGGCTCAAGGGTAGGGCAGACATGAACCATGAGCCACACAATGTTGTCGAACTCCAAACTTTCCACATAACCAGAAGGCACGGCACCGGACCTGTAAGGCCGTAGTGGATCTTGGTGGGCAGGAAACACTGACTCTTGCAATGCGATTGATGTGGCGCCTCCTCGTCCTCCTGGGGACTCATATGCAGGCGGGAAGACAAGCAAAGCCTTTAAATCCAAATGAAGACAATCTGCAGGTGCTAGTGACATTCCCTTATGCTCCTTGTGGTCCCGGGTTTTCTCCCGTGGAAACTCGTTTGTTCGAGTCGCCATTCACCGTGTCGGTTGTGCTGCAACTCGTCTATTGTTGTCGCAGCAGCACGTCATTGAACTGCGATCGGGGCATCGGGACGAACAACATCAGTCATATCAATGTCGAGACAGGAATGCAGATTCAGGACGGGATTCCGTGAGGTTGAAAACTACGGCTGAGCTTTAGGAGTTTGAGGAAGCCATCATTCCTGCGAGTGCATCATTGAAAGTCTGCACTTTTTTGCACAGCCATCGCGCCTGCCATCCCTGGCCACAGTCATGACATATGCCTCGATGCACCCGCCATGGCTCTTGTCCTCCCTGGCACACCTCCTGCTCCCGCTTCATTCCACCGTCGCTCATGCGCTTGCATGGCGGGTTTTATCTCGTCCCGGCGAGACCGAGAAATAATTAGGCTATCGAATATCTCTGAGAATACGCTGCAGTGTGCCTCAACGGCTCGCACGAAGACATCGACATTTAAAGGAGCTCCCAACCTCCTTCAACACCCTGAAAAATGAGCACTGTTTCGGGGTCCTGGTTCAAGAATCGCCTGCCCGGCTGAAAGGCTGCCACACCGGCCGTCCAATTCACCGGCATTTAATTCGGATGTCTCCAGCGCCACCCCCATCACCACAACCACAACAGAATCCAGCAAGTCAACCATGACGCAAACCAGAACCCTTCGGAAATATAAAGGGTGTGCAGGTTGTATTGGGTTGGGAACGGGCCGGACACTGCCCACTACACACTGTACCCTGACACGATGGGCGCCACCAGAATCTACACGACTCGTAAGATGCAAAGCCTCTTCGCATGGTAGGACTTGGAACGCTTGGAAAAATGGGCTCTCAGATACAGGGCGCTGCCTGCACAGACTACCCTGGAGCCGATGCGTCGGCGCGGGAGTGCCTCATCGTCTCGATTGGCCGCCTGCACTCTTCCAAAGTGTTCTGCCCTGGCGGTGCTCGTCCGTTTGTTGAGCTTCTGAGTTTTTGGAGACCACCACCCTGACGTGACATGATCCGTTTTGCCTCCACCAATCGTCAAAAAGGCGAGGGAGAGCAGGTAACAGTGCATGAGTAAGATTGCGAACTTGTCGTCGCAGTAGTTGTCGCAGGATGCGACGGCTGAGCAGGCAGAGTATCATCAAGTAGCCTTCAGTAGATTCTCCTCCCACTTGTGTTATGTTTGCATTCTCATCCTTCCGAAAAGACGAGAGAGCCAGCCTGCTTCCTGGAATCTCTGTCATTGCATGCTGGCAAAGGACGTGCAGTAGGCTCTTCAACTTCTTGAAGCTGCACTGCTGCTCCAATGCCAAGGGTCTTTTCGACCCTCACAGGGCAAGCGAGCAGTGCGAGCCGGCACCCAGGTTTGTGGCCTGCAGGTTTCTGTGAAAAACTACATTGACATGATGGATGACATCTGGGCGTGTAAAATGTTTTCAAGCCTCCGAGGTGAACGCCTTTCGCAGGGATTTGCTGGCTTGCAGTTGCAAGCATGTTTATCACGAAAGCTCGCGTAGCAGA